CCTCAGTTTAGCCACTCTTGCTCGTGGCTCAAACCTGCGGTCCACTCAGCTAACCTCATCACTGGCCAGTATGGGGGAAACGGAGAACAATCCCCGCAGTCCCTGTGTCCCACCTAGTGGGTCGGGGACACAGCAGATCACGTTCCAATTTAGACCATCCCTTCTGGTGTTTCTCACAGGCCAGGTTCAACTCCTCCTGTGTCCAATCAGGAGTTAGGGGGATGGGGGGAACCTGGGCCCACCCTCTACACTGGGTTCCAGCCCAGGGCCCTGTGGATAGCATCTGTCCACAATGTTCCCTGTATCAACTGCGTGACAGCTACAACTCCCTGGGCTACTTCCCCATTGCCTTCCCCGCAGCACCTTCTTTATCCTCACTGCAGGATCTTCCTCCTGAAGCCTGATCACACTTGAACTCTTCACTCCTCCAGCAGCACACCTTCTCACTCCCTGCTCCTGGCGCGCCCCTCTACTAACTGATGGGAGGCCCTTTTGAAACCAGGTGTCCTGATAAGCCTGCCTGCCATAATTGAATCTAGAAAGTTCTTAATTGGCTCCACATGTCTTGATTAGCTTGCCTGTCTTAATTGGTTCTGGCAGGTTCCTGATTGCTCTAGGGCAGCCCCTGCTCTGGTCACTCAGGGAATAGAAAACTGTTCATCCAGTGGCCAATATATTTGCCTTCTACCAGACTCCTGTATCCCACTGGTCTGCGTCTGTCACAATATTTAGATAAATTAGATTTATTCAAGATGGCAGGGCCTGATGCAATTCATCCTAGAGTACGGAAGGAATCTCAGAACAGGTTTCAGAGTGGTAGCCGTGTTAGTCTGTATCAGCAAAAAGAACGAGTACTACTTGTGGCACCTTAGAGGCTAACAAATTTATTTGGGCATAAGCTTTCATGGGCTAAACCCCACTTCATTGGATGCATGCCTTGGAAAATACAGTAGGAAGATATATATACACAGAGAACATGAAAAAATGGGTGTTGCCATACCCACTATAACAAGAATAATCAATTAACCCACATTAATTGATTAGTCTCATTATAGTTGGTATGGCAACATCAATTTTTTCATGTTCTCTGTGTATATATATCTTCCTACTGTATTTTCCACTGCATGCATCCAATGAAGTGGGTTTTAGCCCACGAAAGCTTATGCTCAGATAAATTTGTTAATCTCAGAACAGTGATTTTGGAGAACTCACGGAGGATGGATGAGGTCCCAGAGGACTAGAGAAGGGCTAACATGGTACCTATCTTTAAAAAGAGGAATAAAGAGGACTATTGAGAATTACAGAGCAGTCAGCCTAACTTCGATACCTGGAAAGATACTGGAACAAACTGTTAAACAATCTATTTGTAAGCACCTAGAGGATAACAGGGTTATGAGGAATAGCCAGCAATCCAACCTAATTTCCTTCTTTGACTAGGTTATTGGCCTAGTGGATAAGAGGGAAGCAGGAGATGTGATGTATCTTGATTTTAGCAGGGTTTTTGAAACAGTCCTACATGCCATTCTCATAAGCAAACTAGGGAAATGTGGTCTAGATGAAATTACTATAAAAATGGGTGCACAACTGTTTGAAAGTCCGTACTCAATAAGTAGTTATCTGTGGGCCACTGTCACACTCGGAGGGCATATCTCATAGGGGCCTGCAACTATTCAATATTTTCATTAATGACTTGGATAGTAGAGTGGAGACGATGTTTATAAAATTGGTGGATGACACCAAGCTGGGAGGAGTTGCAAGCACTGTGGAGGACTGGATTAGAATTGAAAATTACCTTGGCAAATTGGAGAATTGGTCTGAAATCAACAAGATGAAATTCAGTAAAGACAAGTGGAAAGTACTATGCTTAGGAAGGAAAAATCAAATGCACAACTACAAAATGGAGAATAACTAGCTAGGTGGTAGCACTGCTGAAAAGGATCGGGGGTTATAATGTATCACAAATTGAATATGAGTTAATGTGATTCAGTTGCAAAAAGGGCTAATATCATTCTGGGGTTTATTAATAAGAATGTTGTATATAAGACATGGGAGGTAATTGTTCTGTTCTACTCAGCATTGGTGAGGCCTCAGTGTCCAATTCTGGGCACCAATCTTTCAGAAAGTTGTAGACAAACTGCAGAGTTCAGAGGAAAGCAACAAAAATGATAAAAGGTTTAGAAAACTTGACCTATGAGGAAAGGTTAAAGAAACTGGGTATGTTTAGCCTTGAGAAAAGAAGACTGAGGGGAGACCAGATAACGGGTAATACGTTAAGTATTGTTATAGCGAGGACAGTGATCAATTGTTCTCCATGTCCACTGAAGGTGGGAGAATACGTAATGGGCTTAATCTGCAACAAGGAAGATTCAGATTAGATATTAGGAAAAATGTACTAACTAGAAGGATAGTTAAGCTCTGAAATAGGCTTCCAAGGGAGGTTGCAGAATCTCCATTACTGGAGGTTTTTAAGAACAGGTTGGACACATATCTGTCAGAGATGATCTATGTCATAAAAATAAAGGGAAGGGTAAACACCTTTAAAATCCCTCCTGGCCAGAGGAAAAACCCTTTCACCCATAAAGGATTAAGAAGCAAGGATAACCTCGCTGGCACCTGACCAAAATGACCAATGAGGGGGGGATGACACAAAGGCTCTCTCTGTCTGGGTGATGCTTTTGCCAGGAACAGAAAAGGAATGGAGTCTTAGAACTTAGTAAGTAATCTAGTTAGATATGCGTTAGATTCTGGTTTGTTTAAATGGCTGATAAAATAAACTGTGCTGAATGGAACGTATATTCCTGTTTTTGTGTCTTTTTGTAACTTAAGGTTTTGCCTAAAGGGGTTCTCTATGTTTTGAATCTGATTACCCTGTAAGGTATTTACACAGGTGATTCTTTTACTTTTTTTCTTCAATTAAAATTCTTCTTTTGAGAACCTCATTGCTTTTTCATTGTTCTTAAGATCCAAGGGCTTGGGTCTGTGTTCACATATGCAAATTGGTGAGGATTTTTGTCAAGCCTTCCCCAGGAAAGGGGTGTAGGGTTTGGGGAGGATTTTGGGGGGAAAGATGTTTCCAAGCGGGCTCTTTCCCTTTTATATATTTGTTAGACGCTTGGTGGTGGCAGCAATAAAGTCCAAGGGCAAAAGGTAAAATAGTTTGTACCTTGGGGAAGTTTTAACCTAAACTGGTAAAAATAAGCTTAGGGGGTTTTCAAGCAGGTCCCCACATCTGTACCCTAGAGTTCAGAGAGGGGAAGGAAACTGGACAGTCTAGGTTTACTTGGTCCTGTCTCAGAGCAGGGGATTGAACTTAATGACCTCTTGAGGTCCCTTCTGGCCCTACATTTCTATTATTCTGTGTCACACAAGACATTTAAATGTGGAACAAATAACCAAAATATGAAACATCTATATTCACTATCTGACTGATTATAATAGCTTTTTAATTAATGCTCCTGTTTAAGAATCCCTTCACACTCTGTGAAAAAAGTTTTGTAATGTGCTAAAGATGCTGATGGGGGACGGGGAAAAGAGGGGTCCCTACCCAGATTGCTTGAAACTGGAGTAGTTTATGGAGAGGGTCCCTTCCCTGGCTTCTCTTAAGGCACAAGGGGCCAACAGGATTTGAGTTTTGGGGAGGGAAGGGTGGCCCCTGTCCAAGCTTCCTCCAATATAATTAAAGCTGTCACTCCCCATAAGTACAACTCTCTCCTCCTTTATACAATACATTTGGTGCCTCCACCCTCTAGTATCAATAAGTAAGTTAGGGCCTCCCACATCTAAACCCACACCCATCCCTACTGCTATTAAGTCAATTAAGTCAGCTCCCAACCCTAAATACATTTAATTTAAGCCACCCACTCATGCAGTAAAGTTAGCCTCCTCCTGATCCCCTGAACACCACCTTAGTTTGCAATACATTTTGTCAGGAATGGAGAATCTGCTGTACTGGTGAGTATACCCCACAATGTGTTACACCTGAGAAGTCTGACCCTTTACACAATCTCCAAGAGTGGTGACTGAGGGATTCTTTTTGTGTGTTTGCCCCATCCTGCAGAGCCATAACAATTGGGCCTATATGCATGCAGTAAATGTCTTGATATCCTAACACAGATGGTAGAATTCTTGCCTGACTGTGGAGCTTTTCTTATTATCCTTGGCTTTTCAACAGAAGTGACTTTTCCCATGGATAGCTCAACCCACTTCTCAAATGTCCAAATACCTCCAAAACCCCTGTATTCAAGTATACCTGTGCTGTATTCTAAGAGACCAAACAATTACTTCTGACTCTTTCCTCATTTTGCTCAGCTATGTTCTGTGTACAGTATGTTAAAACTGTCAGGTTTAAACAGGTGAGAAACTTGGATCACTGTGGAGAGCTTTTCATCCATCTGCAAAGCATTTAGCAGCTGCAGATTGAAAAAGGCATTTTTGGTCACTGCTGCTGTCTCTGAGTCCAAAAGCAGAGAAGAGTCCAGCAACATTGGAAGACATCAGACCACTTTGACTATCTGAAGGCCAAGGCCCACAAATCAGGACAAGGACATAGTCTCTGCTAGTTCTTCAACATGTTTCTCTTGCTAATCCCTACATTTCTGTTTTGCCAGTAGTGAGCATGAGCTATCTGTGCTTCATCCAGGTCCCTATTCCAGCAGACGCTTAGGCAACAGGCATACTACACTGTCAACAATCAACAAGGAGATGGCATAGACTTGCATGCCTTTGTCATACTGATGGCTTTGTAATCCATACATTTTATAATGTCCCCAGCAGCCTCACATAATTGGTGAAGAGAGCCCTAAAAGATTCCACACAAGGGATGTTGGCAAACTTTCCATCATCATTTTATGGGAATTCTCAGAGAAAAAAAATAGTTGATAAACTCAGCAAGACTAACTTCTACACCTGCCAGGTCCTTCATGTAAACTAGCAGAACTAAATTCATGAACACTGATATTTCTCACATTAAGCCCTGGTCTACACTAGGACTTTAGGTCGAATTTAGCAGCGTTAAATCGATTTAAACCTGCACCCGTCCACACAATGAAGTCCTTTATTTCGACTTAAAGGGCTCTTAAAATCGATTTCCTTACTCCACCCCTGACAAGTGGGTTAGCGCTTAAATCGACGTTGCCGGCTCGAATTTGGGGTACTGTGGACACAATTCGATGGTATTGGCCTCCGGGAGCTATCCCAGAGTGCTCCATTCTGACCGCTCTGGACAGCACTCTCAACTCAGATGCACTGGCCAGGTAGACAGGAAAAGAACCGCGAACTTTTGAATCTCATTTCCTGTTTGGCCAGCGTGGCAAGCTGCAGGTGACCATGCAGAGCTCATCAGCACAGGTGACCATGATGGAGTCCCAGAATCGCAAAAGAGCTCCAGCATGGACCGAACGGGAGGTACGGGATCTGATTGCTGTTTGGGGAGAGGAATCCGTGCTATCAGAACTCCGTTCCAGTTTTCGAAATGCCAAAACCTTTCTGAAAATCTCCCAGGGCATGAAGGACAGAGGCCATAACAGGGACCCGAAGCAGTGCCGCGTGAAACTGAAGGAGCTGAGGCAAGCCTACCAGAAAACCAGAGAGGCGAACAGCCGCTCTGGGTCAGAGCCCCAAACATGCCGCTTCTATGATGAGCTGCATGCCATTTTAGGGGGTTCAGCCACCACTACCCCAGCCGTGTTGTTTGACTCCTTCAATGGAGATGGAGGCAATACGGAAGTAGGTTTTGGGGACGAAGAAGATGAGGAGGAGGAGGAGGTTGTAGATAGCTCACAGCAAGCAAGTGGAGAAACCGGTTTTCCCGACAGCCAGGAACTGTTTCTCACCCTAGACCTGGAGCCAGTACCCCCCAAACCCACCCAAGGCTGCCTCCTGGACCCAGCAGGCGGAGAAGGGACCTCTGGTGAGTGTACCTTTTAAAATGCTATACATGGTTTAAAAGCTAGCATGTGAAAGGATTACTTTGCCCTGGCATTTGCGGTTCTCCTAGATGTAGTCCTAAAGCCTTTGCAAAAGGTTTCTGGGGAGGGCAGCCTTATTTCGTCCTTTATGGTAGGACACTTTACCACTCCAGGCCAGTAACACGTACTCGGGAATCACTGTAGAACAAAGCATTGCAGTGTATGTTTGCTGGCATTCAACCAAAATCCGTTCTTTATCTCTCTGTGTTATCCTCAGGAGAGTGAGATATAATTTATGGTCACCTGGTTGAAATAGAGTGCTTTTCTTCAGGGGACACTCAGAGGAGCCCATTCCTGCTGGGCTGTTTGCCTGTGGCTAAACAGAAATGTTCCCCGCTGTTAGCCACAGGGAGGGGGGAAGGTTGAGGGGGTAGTCACGCGGTGGGAGGAGGCAAAATGCGACCTTGTAACGAAAGCACATGTGCTATGTATGTAATGTTAACAGCAAGGTTTACCCTGAAAGAGTGTAGCCACTGTTTTATAAAATGTGTCTTTTTAAATACCGCTGTCCCTTTTTTTTTCTCCACCAGCTGCATGTGTTTCAATGATCACAGAATCTTCTCCTTCCCAGAGGCTAGTGAAGCTTAGAAAGAAAAAAAAAACGCACTCGCGATGAAATGTTCTCCGAGCTCATGCTGTCCTCCCACACTGACAGAGCACAGACGAATGCGTGGAGGCAAATAATGTCAGAGTGCAGGAAAGCACAAAATGACCGGGAGGAGAGGTGGAGGGCTGAAGAGAGTAAGTGGCGGGCTGAAGACAGGGCTGAAGCTCAAATGTGGCGGCAGCGTGATGAGAGGAGGCAGGATTCAATGCTGAGGCTGCTGCAGGACCAAACCAGTATGCTCCAGTGTATGGTTGAGCTGCAGCAAAGGCAGCTGGAGCACAGACTGCCACTGCTGCCCCTCTGTAACCAACCGCCCTCCTCCCCAAGTTCCATAGTCTCCACACCCAGACGCCCAAGAACGCGGTGGGGGGGCCTCCGGCCAACCAGCCACTCCACCACAGAGGATTGCCCAAAAAAAAGAAGGCTGGCATTCAATAAATTTTAAAGTTGTAAACTTTTAAAGTGCTGTGTGGCATTTTCCTTCCCTCCTCCACCACCCCTCCTGGGATACCTTGGTAGTCATCTCCCTGTTTGTGTGATGAATGAATAACGAATGCATGACTGTGAAGCAGCAATGACTTTATTGCCTCTGCAAGCAATGATTAAAGGGAGGAGGGGAGGGTGGTTAGCTTACAGGGAAGTAGAGTGAACCAAGGAGCGGGGGGTTTCATCAAGGAGAAACAAACAGAACTTTCACACCGTAGCCTGGCCAGTCATGAAACTGGTTTTCAAAGCTTCTCTGATGCGTACCGCGCCCTCCTGTGCTCTTCTAACCGCCCTGGTGTCTGGCTGCGCGTAACCAGCAGCTAGGCGATTTGCCTCAACTTCCCACCCCGCCATAAACGTCTCCCCCTTACTCTCACAGATATTGTGGAGCACACAGCAAGCCGTAATAACAGTGGGAATATTGGTTTCGCTGAGGTCTAAGCGAGTCAGTAAACTGCGCCAGCGCGCCTTTAAACGTCCAAATGCACATTCTACCACCATTCTGCACTTGCTCAGCCTGTAGTTGAACAGCTCCTGACTACTGTCCAGGCTGCCTGTGTACGGCTTCATGAGCCATGGCATTAAGGGGTAGGCTGGGTCCCCAAGGATACATATAGGCATTTCAACATCCCCAACAGTTATTTTCTGGTCTGGGAATAAAGTCCCTTCCTGCAGCTTTTGAAATAGACCAGAGTTCCTGAAGATGCGAGCATCATGCACCTTTCCCGGCCATCCCACGTTGATGTTGGTGAAACGTCCCTTGTGATCCACCACAGCTTGCAGCACTATCGAAAAGTACCCCTTGCGGTTTATGTACTCGGCGGCTTGGTGCTCCGGTGCCAAGATAGGGATATGGGTTCCGTCTATAGCCCCACCACAGTTAGGGAATCCCATTGCAGCAAAGCCATCCACTATGACCTGCACGTTTCCCAGGGTCACTACCCTTGATATCAGCAGATCTTTGATTGCGTGGGCTACTTGCATCACAGCAGCCCCCACAGTAGATTTGCCCACTCCAAATTGATTCCCAACTGACCGGTAGCTGTCTGGCGTTGCAAGCTTCCACAGGGCTATCGCCACTCGCTTCTCAACTGTGAGGGCTGCTCTCATCTTGGTATTCATGCGCTTCAGGGCAGGGGAAAGCAAGTCACAAAGTTCCATGAAAGTGCCCCTACGCATGCGAAAGTTTCGTAGCCACTGGGAATCGTCCCAGACCTGCAACACTATGCGGTCCCACCAGTCTGTGCTTGTTTCCCGAGCCCAGAATCGGCATTCCACAGCATGAACCTGCCCCATTAGCACCATGATGCATGCATTGTCAGGGCCCATGCTTTCAGAGAAATCTGTGTCCATGTCCTGATCACTCACGGGACCGCGCTGACGTCGCCTCCTCGCCCGGTATCGCGTTGCCATGTTCTGGTGCTGCATATACTGCTGGATAATGCGTGTGGTGGTTAATGTGCTCCTAATTGCCAAAGTGAGCTGAGCGGGCTCCATGCTTGCCGTGGTATGGCGTCTGCACAGGTAACTCAGGAAAAAAGGCGCAAAATGATTGTCTGCCCTTGCTTTCACGGGGGGGGGGGGAGGGAGGGAACGGGGGGCTGACGATATGTACCCAGAACCACCCGCGACAATGTTTTAGCCCCATCAGGCATTGGGATCTCAACCCAGAATTCCAATGGGCAGCGGAGACTGCGGGAACTGTGGGATAGCTACCCACAGTGCAACGCTCTGGAAGTCGACGCTTGCCTCGGTACTGTGGAAGCGCTCCGCCGAGTTAATGCACTTAATGCACTTAGAGCATTTTCTGTGGGGACACACACACTCGAATATATAAAACCGATTTCTAAAAAACCGACTTCTATAAATTCGACCTAATTTCGTAGTGTAGACATACCCTTAGATATAGATAACCAGAAGGAAATCATCCATAAGTGCATTCATCACTATTTCCATGATATAGCCAGCTCTAAAGCCTGACTACAAGGGTCTGCGATATTTGAGGAAATCATGTGCTGCTGGCCTTCCCAACAGCCTTTGCTAGGGAAGGGAAATACTGTGTGGAAACCAGAAAGTGGTGAGCAAGGAAACTGATGTCAAGTGATATTAAAAAAATTGAGCAAAGGTGGACCACAATGTATTTAAGGATTGTCAGCACACTTGCCATCTTTCAAGAAAGCTGTTTTCTTGCTCCAGTTTATATAATTTACTTGATCTGTCTTCTCTTCTTTGCCTGATACCAGCCACCATCTATAGCAAAAATACTCTGAGAGAACAAGTCTTTGCTCTTTCACTGGTGTAACAAACTACTACAGTCAATATTCTCTGCTCCAATGCTTCCTGAGTCTTCTCAGCATATACTACAAGTTAATAATAGGACTCAGTGATGTCACCTACATGTAGCTCATTATTAGTTAAACCAATGGGATCATTACAAACAAAATTTTCAGTAAGAGAATGTTGACAATTACACCCAAGAAACATCTTTCTTCTTTTTGGCCGTTTGAAGTGCAGTCATGTTTTTTAGTCTAGTTTTCTATTTTATGGAAGGTACTGTTATTAGTCTTTTTAGGTCCAAGGAGGTCAGTACTTATTTCTGGTCTTTTGACTTTGCTGAGGTTCCTTTTTTAGTTCAATGTCCAGTTCTTGGAAAGGAAGGATGGCTTTCTCGTTAAGGAGCCCAGGAGATCTGGATTCTGTTCCCAGTTCTGTCACGACTTCTTTGTTAGTTTGAGCAAGTCAGTAAATTTATTTGTGCCTCTCTTTCCTATCTGTAAAATGGGGGATGATAATATTTCTCTAGCTCACAGGAGTGTTGTAAGGATAAATCCATAAATACTTGGAAAGCACTCGGATACAACAGTGATGGGCACCATACAAGTTCCTAGATATATATGGATGTGATAGATTTCTGTAGAGCTAAATTGTAGTCATCTGGTTTCCCACACTTCCCTCTTTGAAAATTTAGTTTGGTGTCGTGTCTTAGGGACTCACACTTTGTCATCTTCTAGAATGGTGAAATGGTAGAGAAGTCTGTGTCAGTACAGAATCTCCTCTCCCCTATTATGATGTATAAATGTTGAGGAGTTGCTTGAAGCCTGCTACATTAGGCTTGAAACTGTTCTGACTTCTACTTGTTGAAGGTCTTCCCAAAAACAAACAGATGAGGAAGGGGACTCCTGCGCCACTTGGTATACAGGAGAACAATCACAAGGCTCAGACTCACACACAATAAACCCCTGCATTAGTTTTCTATTCCCACCTCAAGGCTTGAGGAAAAAAGAAGAGGCAGGATCACTTCTGATATTTCCCCAGCATTCTATACTTCCCTCTTAAAAACAGAACAAACTGTAGTATTGTATTTTTCACAATACAAGTTAATGAGCTCAGCAAACTGCATTCTCAAAAAAAAAACAACCTTGCCACTTTAAGTCTGACACTGGAACTGGTAGCAAAAAGAGAACTCAAGGGACTGGGGGCTGAGTAGTTGTATGCTGCAGTTAAATAAACCAGTTTTTGTGTTTGAGAAGCCTCTGCCTGACTGCAATTCATTTTATAACATTATCTGGGGACATGGTGTCATGTCAGAAGTAAACTGAAATGGCAACTGCTGGCAATTTAAGAAGTATTCCTCCAATAAACTTGAAGAAAGAAATGTTGAAAACGGGACCAGAAGGAAAGGCTGGTCATGTTGGCTTTTTTGGAACATAAAGCAGATAGATGATAGGCAAATCAAAAGGAACCACATTTACAAATCTGAGATGGGCAGAAAGGCATGCCTTCCAGGGAATCTAGTACACAAATCAGCCAAGCTGATCATATTTGAACTGTTTATGGCATTCAGTACTTTATGCAGAACACCTGACTCAAAGAAAAGTTTTACATGAGAGGAACTTGGGTCTTCTAGATTTAAAAGAAACAGTTAACTGTGCTGAAGCTCATAAAACTATATTTTCAGATAGTGCAAGTTAAAGAATAGCATTTTAATTGAGTTAAATATAAAATAAACATAAAACAAATTAATCTGACTCTTGATGGCAAAAGGAGACAAGCACAAGTATATGAGACTTCCAGGGATCAATGAAGACATGGAGTAATACCTGTCTGAAAACACACAAAGCACTGAATTGACAAGCACCTATAGCGGTGAGGCACAGAAAACCAGACTGGACTTATTTATGCAATGGGAGGCTGAACTAGAAGTTGCTTTATGGTTTTTTGGTTCTCTATTTACACAGCACCTAGAACAATGGGATCTTGGTCCATTGGCCTTCCAGCCACTACCACAATACAAATAATAAATAATAAGCTGGGGAAAAGATAGAAGTGATGAACAAAGTATAAAATCTAGAGATGTGAGACCAAAAGATAGATGCATAAGGCTGATAAAATGGAAGAAGCTTGTGGGCAAAACATTCCCTAAATGTGGGTAAAAACACACGACAAATGAGATTTTTCTGCAGAAGGCAGGGCCAGAGACCACAATCCTCAACAGAAACACAGAAGGAGGGCCAAGTTAAGCAAAGATAACACTCTTTCAAGATTCAGGTTTATTTAGATGTCATTTTTCCAGTGCAAAGAAAATAACACCAACCAGTAAAGGCTTTAGCAACCTTAGCTTCATAGACTTAAAACTCCAAAATGAACATGATAACCACTAAAACAAACAACATAAACAGTACAATTCTCATACCTGCTGGGCTCCTGATCCTGGCTTCTAGTCAACTTTTCACTGACTGGTTTCTTCCTGTTTCCACAAGTGAGTGCAAGTGGGAAGAAGCTGGGCACCCAAGATGGGGAGTGGGTGGGAAAGGGAAGCAGATATTTAGTGTGAAAAGAAGCAGGTGGAAGGAAAAGGCAGAATGTGCCGGGGGGGGGGGGGGGCAAGCAAGAGAGAGAAAGAGGTGATGGGCATTCATGGAATGGGAGATGGAGGGAAGGCAATACTTATGGGAGTCAGAAGGGAACTGGTCACTCGTGGACAAAAAGAAA